ATGCCTCATTTCCACTTTATTATCGCTTTCTGGCCAACGTGTGATAACATCCATAGAGTAGTCTAGCAGTCCAAGGTCAAGGGTTCTAGCGAGGCAAGATGATCAGGAGGTCCAAGGCCAGGGGTTCCAGAGAGTCAAGATGGCTAGGCAGTCCGACAGTCAAAGGTCCAGGCTGAGAAGACAAGGAAGGTCAGGATCAAGCGTGCTTCCACCGGCAAACTCAGATAAACTCTGACAACTGGTCTGGCATCCTTCACCTGTTTATATCTCCATCTCTCATGAGCTCAGCTGTTTGTTGATTAGATGGCGTTTCTCATAAAGCTGCTTCAAACGCCAGAGACACGCCCTTTCAGCTCTTCGCTGGTTGAAGGTAGGTATGTTTACTTCATCTTCTGCCATGCCTGAAGGCTCTGCTACCGAGAGGCTTAGGGCCTTTACAGACTGCCAGAAATAATGCAACTTGAATCCACTTTAACTGCCCTGACTCAGTGCTAGGGAATGCTGGGAGCTGTAGTTTATTGTGGCACCAGAGCTCTTTGACAGAGAAGGCTCAAAATGTTTCAGAAATAACTACAGTTCCCATGATTCTCTAGCACTGAGCCAGGACAGTTAAAATGGACTCAAGTTGCATTATTTCTGGCAGTCTGTAAAGGCCCTTAGTTGCTGAGCCTCCTTGGAGGCCACAGACTCTGCTTGAGCTGGCAGGGCAGAACTAGGGCCAGGCTCAGGTTCAGGCTTAGTTTCAATCGGAGACTCTGGCTCATCCTCCTTGTCCTCCTCTGAGTCCTCAGGCTGGCTGGGCATGACACCTCTGCCTTCTCATCTGCCCCCAGTATGTTTTGATTTTTTTTAAAAAAATAAAAGAGTACAGAAGTACAAGTTTGGCTACCAAAATGGGAATTATAAGAAAAGTGGAGGCTGGTGAAAGGTGAAAGAAAACAAACAAACACTGGGTGAGCCTGAGCAAGTCACACTCTCTCAGCCTCAGAGGTTGGCCATGGCAAACCCCTCTGAAGAAACTGGCCATAAGACAGAAATGACTTGGAGCCACACAACAACCCCCATTCTCTTACAATCCTTTCCTTAACAAGCTCTCAATTCTAAAAACTGTCCTGATTTTTTTTAAAAAAGCATGCTAATGGGTGACCTTGGGCATGTCACACTCTCTCAGCCTCACAAGATGGCAAGGGCAGGGGACCCCCCCCATGAAGAAACCTGCCAAGGAAACCCAATGATAGGCTCCCCATAAGTCTGAAACAACTTTAAGGCACACAACACACACACACACTTTCCTCTCACAAAAGGAAAAAGGAGTAGATGTGTAAGATCCAAAACACACTGCAGAAATAATCCAGTTTGACACCGCTTTAACTGCCCTGGCTCGGTGCTGAGGAATCCTGGGAACTGTAGTTTTGTGAAACATTCAGCCTTCTCTGTCAGAGAGAGCTCTGCTGCCACAGTAAACTACAATTCCCAGGATTCCCTCGCACTGAGCCAGGACAGTTAAAGGGGTCTCAAACTGGACTATGTCTAGAATTCAAAGATGCAGCCTTGTCGGTCTGTAGAATCAGTATGGAGAGAGATCTTGAGGCTTCACTGAAATAAAGGCAGTTGGCAGCATGATGAGCTTTCCTAGACTTTTTAAGTCTACTGTACTTCCTCAGATTCCTGCAGAGTGGTTTTGGACCTTCCTGGCCTGAACACGCCCGTAGTAAAGATGGCCGTGGAACCTTCACGCTTTCTTCCGCCCTTCTTAGGTCACGTGGTCCGTCGCGGTACGTCGTCTCGTTGCTGATTACGGCGGCTCAGAGGGGACAATTAGGGTCGTTTTTGTCATTTCCCCCCCCCTTCTTCTTCGCTGCCTTTAATCCTTCTGTTCCGGGGCTGCTCTCATGCTTCGCTGCTAACGGCGGCGCGGAGGAAAGGACTTGGGGACCAGGCAGCCGCCTCCCCTCCGGCCTGAGGTAAATACGGGAGGGCTGCTTGGCCTGAGGCCTTCGTGTCCCTTCGGAACCGACGGTGGGCGGGAGACCAAAAGACCCCAAAGACCCAAAGACCCAATATTTAGAGGTGTTTTTTTATTCCCTCAGGCTTTGAAACCCTTCCCTTCGGGTCTCTCCCCTTTCCGCCTCTCATCTCCTTTATATAGTTATTTGTAGCGACAGTTATGTTCTCCCCTTTGCCCCTCTTTTTAAAAAGCAAACACACACAAAACGCTAAATGACAGAGGGCAAAAAAACAACAACAAAAAACACCGCCATAAACCTTTGTTGCCATTCAGGCGGTGAAGCTGTCATGGGGTTTTCTTGGCAAGGTTTCTTCAGAGGATAGGTTTGCCGTCGACATCCTCTGAGGCTGAGAGAGTGTGACTTGGCCACTGGGTTTCCATGCCTTCCCTTTAGGCTGAGAGAGTGTGACTGGGCAAAGGTCAACCAGTGGGTTTCCATGGCCTTCCCTTGAGGCTGAGAGAGTGTGACTCGGCAAAGGTCAACCAGTGGGTTTCCATGGCCTTCCCTTGAGGCTGAGAGAGTGTGACTTGGCCAGTGAGTACCCATGGCCTTCCCTTGAGGCTGAGAGAGTGTGACTTGGCCAAGGTCACCCAATGGGTTTTCATGGCTTCTTTTTTCTGTTTTTTCTTAGTCCATTTTCTCGTTTCTCTTCGCCAAACAGAAGTCCACCTTTAAATGGGACATAAGTTACATTATTACGTGATTTAGTGTGACTTATAGAGCCCCTAAGCCTAAAGTGAACCTATCGTGGGGTTTTCTTTGCAAGATTTGTTCCGAGCAGGTTTGCCATTGCCATTCTCTGAGGCTGAGAGAGTGTGACTGGTTTAATTTCACCTAGCCACACAGTACCTCATGTGAAGAAGCTGTTTTGTATCCATAAAAGCTCATGCTAAAATAAAAACTAGCTAGTCTTAAAAGTTGCTGCCACAATCCTTACTTTTTCTCTCTCCCCCTTTTTTTAATGCTGCAAGATGCCAATATATATGTTGTTGTTGTTGCTATGTACCTTCAAGTTGTTTCTGATTCATGGAGACCCTAAAATTAGGGTTTTCTTGGCAAGATTTATTCAGAGGGGTTTTGCCATTGCCTTCCCCTGAGGCTGAGAGAGTGTGACTTGCCCAAGGTCACCCAGTGGGTTTCCATGGCCAAGCTGGGATTCGAACCCTGATCTCCAGAGTCATAGTCCAGTGCTCAAACCACTGTGCCACAAAAGTAAAAAATGCTATAAATCAATTTCATGTGGTGTATTTGCAGCTATATTGTTGTTGTTGTTGTATGCCTTCAAGTTGTTTCTGACTTATAGTGACCCTAAGGTGAACCTATCATGGGATTTTCTTGGCAAGATTTGTTCAGAGGATGTTTGCCATGGCTTTCCCCTGAGGCTGAGAGAGTGTGACTTGGCTGAGGTCACCCAGTGGGTCTCCATGGCAGAGCCTGGATTTGAACCCTGATCTCCAAAGTTATAGTCCAGCGCTCAAACCACTGCACCACACAGGCTCTCAAAAGCCAAAAATATTAATACAGATCCATTCATTTGGAGGTTTATTTACAGCTATGAGGCATATACAATATATGAAAGCCAATATAGTATAGCAGTTTCAGCATTGGACTATGACTCTGGAGATCTGGGTTTGATGCCCTGCTCAGCCACTGAAACCCACTGGGTTACCTTGAGCAAGTCACACACTCTCGGCCCCAGAAAAACCCACATTAGGTTCGCCTTGGGGTTGCCATAAGTTGGAAGTCACTTGAAGGCACCCAAGAACAACATACAATATACAATAGCATGCACAGTTTTGTATGTCTTCAGTTTATGCCTTTTTTATAATTATTAATGCATTCATATTGTCCTCCCCCTTTCCAGTTCTTTTAATAGCCTCTAAAGAAGGTGTTGGACTATGATGCTGGAGACCTGAGTTGGAATCCCCACTCATGAAAACCATTGGGTGACCTTGGGCAAGCCACAGATTACACTATATATACCATGTTTTCCCAAAAATAAGACACTGCCTTATATTTATTTTTCCTCAAGAATATACACTATGGCTTATTTTAAGGGGATGCATTTTTTATTAAGTATGTTACAACAATCTACATTTATTCAAATATAATTAAGTCGTCATGGTGCTGGGGGAGAGAGACCCACAGTGCTGAGTAAAAGGCAGCCACAGCTTTACTTCTTCCCCCTGAGAACACACAATACCTAAAGCAGAGTGTCCTGCTCCTCACTTCACTGAGGAAACTTTTATTTTCCCTTTCTATGGGCCTTTGCAGAATGCTAGAAATAGTGCAAATTGAGTCCACTTTAAGGGTTAGGGCTAGGGAATCATGGAAACTGTATTTTATTGTGGCACCAGCGCTCTCTGACAGAGAAGGCTCAATGTCTCAGAAAAGAAAAGAAAAAAGAATTCACATGATTCCCTAGCACTAACCCTAACCCTTAAAGTGGACTCAATTTGCACTATTTCTGGCAGTCTGCAAAGGCCATATGTTTCCCTCTATGCATCAGCTTGCAGCTCTGAGATAGCAGCTGTCATGATGGGGCAGATAAGAAGGGCTGGCTGTCTTCTTTACCGCTCCGTGCTGGTACTCTGCATAGCCACACCTATCACTATGTCTTATTTTCGGAGTATGGCTTATATTGCGCAAATGCTTAGAAATCCTGCTACGGCTTATTTTATGGGTATGTCTTATTTTCGGGGAAACACGGTATATATATATGTATATATATATATATAGAGAGAGAGAGAGAGAGAGTGTATAATAATTAAGAAATAATATATTAAACCAGATGAAGTTACATACCTCAGCTTATATCTTGCTTATTATTATTATTCCATGGTCATTGTCCCCTTCTTTTGTTTTAACAGCCTT